GGAGTATAGAGTTAAGTATGTTTATCCTATATTATATGTCTAATATAAGTATTATATGTCTAATATAAATATTATATTAGACATTTATATAAGTATCACATATATAAGTATATGAATATATGCCATGTGTGTCTTTCTGCTTCTGGGTTACCTCACACAGGATGATCTTGCCTAGTTCCATCCATTTGCCTACAAATTTCATGATTTCCTTGTTTTTAATGGCTGAGTAGTATTCCATTGTGTAAATGTACTACACTTTCTGTATCCATTTCTCCATTGAGGGACATCTAGGTTGTTTCCAGTTTTTGTTTTTGTTTGTTTTTGTTTTTATGAAGAGGCGTTATTTTCAGTTTCTTGTCATACCTTCGCACTTCATTCTCTCAGCCTTTGCCTTCTACTCACAGGGCTATACATACTCCAAGCAGCAATCATATCAAAAATTAAATATAAGAGACAAAGGTCTTCTCAGGCATTAAAAGTCAAAATGTGTTTCTACGAACAAAATCCACACTGCTAAGTATAGTTGTGAAAAAGGATGCCATTAATTTCTGTGGTTTCCTGAATGTCAGGTAGCAGTGCGTGCATAATACAAGCAGGCTGCCCAAACAGTCCTTCCTTCAAAGCCAGGTCACCAACTCACAGCTAATTCCTACTGTCTTAAACACAGCATGATGCCAGACAAGGACAGCAGGGTCCAGCTCTTCAGGGATGCAACCTCTTTTACGGAAGGATCATTTTCATTCTGGGAAGCAGAGCAACACATGCTCAAGTCCCTAGATCAGCTTCACTCGCCAGCTTAATCCCCATCAATTATAAAGACTCCCTGAGGTAACACAACCTGGTCTCTGTGTTTAAATGCTCTAGCACCAGCTCTATTAATTACTGCAACAATTAGTGATTTTGTTATCATTGTAAGCTGGTTTTATCTCCTTCTGTGTGTGACCAAACAAAGTGTGAGAATACATTTTGATGCAATAAAAAAGCCCCTTGTTTTAGTTTTAGCAATATTTTTTTCCAATTCGTATTTTCTAGGCAAGAACTACCAGTGAGCAACAGCCCAACCATTTGTTGTTTGTCTGTCTGTCTGTCTCTTTGCTTGCTTGCTTTCTTGCTTGTTTGTTTCCAAGTCATAGATCTTGCTCTATGACTCAGGATGAACTTTCTGGGTAGCAGGATAACCTCCAACTCCAACGTACAATCTTTCCTCAGAAATCGAATTCTAGAATTAAAGACATGTACCACCACACCCGGCTCATGTTTCGTTAATAGCTACAATCCCAGAAAATAACTTCCAAAACATGCCCCAAAACAGACCATTCCTAACAGGAAATTCTCTGTGATTCAAACTGTCTCTCTCTCCTACTGCCCCAAGTATCTACATTCATTCTGTAGTCACTTCAGAGTATAATTATTTTTCTATTAAACAATGACATAGAGCTACTAAGACTAAATGAAAACATTTCCTCCTTCAAACTTTTAATAAGTCTGAATCTTAACTCCTGGTTAAAGCATGTATTAACATATTTATGACTGACACTGAGTTTCCATCTGACATTTCAACATAACAGAAATTTTAGCTTTAGTTTTGCTAAAAAAAAAAAATGTATTTCCATACTTGTGCTTCATTGCTCGTGTGTGCACTCTCTTGCACTAGGAAGAAAATGACCAAACACGTGCTTGAGAGTTTGTAAGAATGTCTTCCCATACTGCTGAAGCAACGCATATCAAATCCAAGCAGCCATTCCTTGGCTGCCTCTGGGAGAGCAGGACTTGGGAACCAGGGATGGTCCACAATTGCTGCAAACCCCAGTGAGCTACTTTTTGCTCCATTTCCCATCTCTCCTCCTTTCCTCTTCATTTTTCTCTTCCTCCATTCTCTTCACGCTAGAACAACTGAGCTCCAAACAACAGAAAGTCATAATGAAGCCGGTATCTGTTGCTACATCTCAGAAGATCCCTTTTTATTGGTTAAGAGTTAAGTAGTTCCATGTTCAGGGACAGTTAAATTTTAAACTTACCAAGTAAATAAGGAAAGAATTTTTAATTTCTTACATTTGTGTGTGTGTGTGTGTGTGTGTGTGTGTGTGTATGCTAGGTTATGTGTGTAAGATAAATTGCGTGTCTGTATGTGTGGGATAAATTGTGTGTGTGTCTGCATGTGTATATGCATGCATGCATGAACTAGGGCTCCATGAAAATTAGGTAACTACCCTACCACAAAGCTATATACACAGCCCTCTTTTCAATTTAATTTTGAGTTATAGTCTCAGAAAGTTTCCAGTCTAGCTTCGAGCAGACTTGAAGTTCAGGCAGTTGTCATTTTCTTGCCTTAGTCCTGAGTAGGTAGGGACTGATGTGAATATACTTACATATATTTACACAGAGATACAGGATAGGTAGTTAGGTATATGATGATAGATGATAGACAGACAGAGAGACAGACAGACAGACAGACAGACAGACAGACAGACAGACAGACAGACAGATAGATAGATAGATAGATAGATAGATAGATAGATAGATAGATAGA